TTATATATTCAATTAAAAGATTTGAAAAGCAATTAGAACGTAAACATAATTTTATACTACATTTAAGAAAGTGCAGAATTACACAAACATTAATTTTTATATAAATGACACTAAATAATAAATAATAATATAAATCATTTGTAATCTTGATTCGATCAAATATGTTCAACCAAGTAGGAGCCGGGTTGATGGTGAGCTTCATTTTAGCGTATACTAGAATTTCGTTAGATATTCTTGGAATTCATGGATAAACCTTGAAATATTTGTATTGAATTATTTATTTATTCACCGTCCAATTGATCAACATGTCACATTCATCTTCAACGATCATATTATGCATGCATGCATAATATCCATTAAAAATAGAAATAATATTTTACAATTATGATAACACTTTTTATTTATTAATGTATATATATACTATATTATAAAACATTTGACAAAAACTCTTAAAAACCATTTTTTATGCATGAAGTACCGTTTATTGATGCATATTACTTAAAAATCAAGATTACAAGTAAATTTTGCATAAGTACAACTTATTAAAGCTTCGTATTTGAATTCGTGTAATTAACTGCAGATAAACATAATCAAATAGAGGATAAACATCTTATTTTTTAATAAAAAAATTAAAAATATAATTAGGATAATTATTGAGTTCTAACAAAATACTTAATTATTATCTTTATAAAAGATTATATTATTAACCCAAAAAAAATGAATTATATAAATACACAAAAAAGAAAGAAATTTTAAAGTCATTTTGGTACTAATATCAATATTTTTTTTTTTATAATATCGATCGAGATAAAAAAAACATTAAAATTAAGATGTATCTCGTTATCATTTTGAAGATGAGTGTAAATATCATGCAATCTTCCATGAGGAAATAGCATAGATGACCCTCCCCTTCCACCCTTGCACCATCCAATGACCATCATCATCCACCATGAAATCCCTATGAAACCCTATTTTCACCTTGGCCCTCACCTCCTTCATTATCTCCCCGTTCATCGGCACCGGTGTGAATCCCGCCCTCTCGTTCCTCGCTTGCCACTGCTTGTACGTCTCCGGTCGTTCAATACGCCGTGTTCCTTCGCACGCTATCACATTGATCACTTCGCGCCCGATCACCTCCTTCTCAAACAACAACCGCTCCTCGTCTTCCCGGTTCATTGCCGCCTCGAACATGTTGAATAACACTGAGAAGTTGAAGTATGCCTCACGGAATCTCGTCAGGAAGAAGGGGGCATTGTAGTTCCCATTCACGACTCCATGGAGGAATAGGTTTGGCTTGATCATCTTGATCAACTTCAGAACCGACTCTCGTGGACAATCGATGGCTCCAAGTACGGTTTCATCTGGAACATTCCTTAATCGGTATAAGCAATTAACCACGAGGATCTCATCCTCATTGATTTTGAGATCCTCAAGTTTAATATCGTCCCATTGTCTTGCTATTGCATGATACTCAAATGGGACGTTGAATCTTTTGCAGTAATCAGCCAGGCGACGTCCTGTCTCTTCCACTCTTTCAGCCGGACGAAAACCTGGCTGAGGAAAGTCAATTCCTGTAATCCTAAGCCTTGGTGTCCCACCAAGCCTTGCTGAGAGGCCCTGAATGAGACAGGGCCATTGGAATCCGTAAAGAATGCCAAAATCAATGATGTGAAGCCTTGGCGAACCCCTCGCCAGGTTTCCAATCATTTTATTAGCATAGATATTAGACATTTTCTTGAAAGGACAAGTTGAGACGTAAACCTGATAAGCTTTAACAATATCTGAAGCCATGATCTTACTCAAGGCTAGATTCGAGTAAAGATCCATTCCAGTGCCGGCATAACGGGCGTCAAGCGCGTCGGCAAAGTAATGTGCCAACCGCTCCTCGGAATCTCCACGAGGAGAAGAATGGTTTCTAATCTTCTTAAGAATCCTTTCGACCCCGAGTTTGTTGTTTGACGAAACGGCTTGTGCACATTGAGTGAGTAGACTCTTCAAGTCGACAATCTCCTTGGTGGCATCCGACCTCTTTCTTCTCTGTTTTCCGGTGATTAAGGGACTCACCGGCCTATCAAAAGGGCAACAAGCAAGCTCGTCGTGCAATCCAACATGGTTCGAACCAGGACAAAGCAAGAGCTTGTCGATCATGGTCACAATCTCCTTCGTCTCCATCTGTTCTTCCTCCGGCCAACCACCAGCCAAGTGCTTGTTACTCCGGTGTTGCTCGTAACCACCACATTCCGGCGCTTGACGGTTCTTCTTTCCCCTCGAAGAAACAACTCCAATGGTGGAAGGGAAATTGAGATCTAAAGCTTCAATGGTGGAAGGAAAGATGGGTTTCTTTTGGGCAAGAACATCGTAGAACGATTTCTCTGTTGCTTGGAGAGCAGAACAATCATGGTACATGGATGATTTGTTCATCAAATCATCTTCTTCCCCCATGAGCATGTCGTTAATGTAATCAAGAACAGCCTCAAAGTAGTCGTGTGGAACCGTCGGGTCATTGCACTCGGTGCAGCCACAAGAACACCATCCTTTCTTCTCCGGCGGGTTTTGGATGTACACCAGCTGATTTGTTTGTGGGGTTTCGAGTTGTCGTCGGTGTTTGGGAGATAAAACTGTTTTCAGCATATTATTAACTGGGGTTGAGCACTGAAGCTGGAGGAGGGTGTTCATCGTTGGTGGCGGTGTTGGCTGGTGGCGGTGGTGGTGATGGAATTAACATGTAACCAGTTTATATAGGACTAGAAACCGACATAATCTAGAACTATCGGTTATAATATGGGTTGAATCAAGAGAGAGATTGCGGATCATGTTAGCTAAGAAACCGGCAGTGGGGTGATGTGCTTGGGGGAAACAAGGAAGAAGATGAAAGAAATCAATGGCGGTGGTGGCCTGGAGGACGTCATGAGATGCATGTGAGTTAATGAGCTAGTTCCGGCCGTCATACTCGTGGGTGACGCAACAGTTAACAACCACCGTTCATCACCGGAGAAAGGCGGTGGTCTGCTTTGTGTTCGGTGTCAAATCCTCGGCCTCGTGGGTCCATGCTATTTTTAGGACGATGTACAAAATGTTTGTATATATTCGTTTTTGTTCGTTAACTATTGAGATTTTTATATTTTTATTTGAACCCTTAAAGGTTTAATTTATTTAAAAAAAATTATTATTGATTTGGTACCGGTATAAATTGTTTATCTAAATACTCAAAAGTGTTTATTATCAACATCACACCAAAATAAGTCAATAAATTGTATTTATAAGCAATCTCAATCATCCCTAAGTTTCAATCTTGTTATTAAGACGGTTGTTTTAAGAGTTTTGGCCTTCTTTCATAAAATATTTTATAAAAAGGTTGACGATAATTATATTATTAAAATTTAATAGTCTCAATATCGATTTAATGATTTTATTGCATTTTAACCTATATAATTTCAAAAGAAATATATATCTTTTATTTATTTATTTGTTTTAAATAAACTTTATATTTTGGTTTCAAATGTTAAAATATTCTTTTTAATGGATTCGAACCCGTAATAATAGGTTTCAATGTACGAGATCTTGTAGGATCAAACTCTCCATGAGATTCATAGTTGGATCATTTCTCAATTGACCGAAGGCAAACGACCTCTATTGGGGGGATCACTTTTTTATAAATATAGCAGACAGGTTATTATAACGTTTTGGGAAAATTAAGTATTTTTAAGGTTGGTGAATCATAGGTTGGTATAAGTTAACTTGACAAGAAGAAATTAGTATTACATCAATTAAGTCGTACTAATTATGTTTTGTGTAATCTCGGGGTATTAAGCTTTGTTGGAAGCGAGTAGGAGATCTTGGGTATTTTAGTGACCTTTTATATTGTTGGATATCCTGCCAGGTACGGATTTCCGTACTTCTTTCAACGACACTCTATTCGATTGTATTATTATATTGTGACATTTGTGGTGAATCAACTGTCTTAAATTGCTTCGTTGGTTGATAATTGCAATTTCGATCCTCAAAATATTTTCGTAATAATATTCATTTTTGTTCAAAACCCTTATATTTGAGACTTTTACTTCGATTTGTGTTGTTGGCTTATTTTACGTGAGAAATGCGTTTCTGATTTTCCGATGTAATAAGATCTTGATGCATGATGAATATAGTTGGAGTTGAGGTTGATTTTGTATTCATCCATGCATGCATAGAACCTTTTTGTCAGTTTAGTTTTTGGAGAATAGGAATACCGAGTTAACCACCTGTAGGGGTACTATAGGCATGTCATTGTGGCGCCAATGGCATGACACTACCCGTGGCAGTGTGATTAGTTCACGACATCTCCTTCCGATTTTTTTTATGCTCTGATGAGAGCTGGCCATGGTGCGATGGGTTATCAGGAGGTATATGGGTCGGCCCTAGGACTTTTAGAGCTTTGTCATCGGTATGCAATGTAGTGCCGTATATGCCACTGATTTTGGATACATTTGGAGTCGTGAATCATGTGTATTATGATCTGTTTGGATATCTTGTGCTACCATTTTTCTCCGTGTAGGAAGCTCGGTTTGTATAAACTAACCCTTGTTGTTTCAACCAAAAATTATTGGATTAGTCGGGAGTTCGGTGATAATTCTGTACTAGAGATGCTTTGGAACCTTATCTTTAATCGATCTTTTCAATTGTGTTATGCTTTGTTTATGTTGTAATAATCCGTACTGGGCATTTGACTCACACTGTTTTTTTCTTCCAGCAGTATCTAGCTAGGGGAAATCTGAGTCTTTGTGAAGAGAGGACCACTTGCTTTTGAGGACTTCTAGTTATTTGAAGTTAATTTTAGTCTTGAACTAGAATAATATTTTAGGAGTTAATGTTTACTTGAGATTTAAATTTTATCGCTATGATTTTAAGTTGAACTTTTGTTCGAACTAAGTGGCTTGATTTAATTTTAGATTTTCTAGTAATTCATCAACCGTTGATGATTTGGGGTGTTTCACTAAGTATTATGTACATTATATATATAATCTAAACGTGGGTTGGTGGCTGATTAAGGAAAGGAAACATAAGATGGTTGTGTATGGATGCATGGCCGGACCTACCATGGTGGTTACGGTGGCATGTGCCACCGTATTATTTCTTCGGCGAAGGGTAAAAAAATTTAGGTTCTTGAAAAGTGCAACCGTATTAATATGTTGTATGCCACCGTATGTATTTTGAAACTATAATGAGAACAAGTTTTATTTAGTAGAGTTGGTTTGCAAGACTTTTATTCCACTCTAGATCCAATTTCAAATCTTGTTAGTGTCATTTTCTTAGTCAAATAGTGCCACCGATTGAAAAAAATTCCGTATATTTGTTTCTTATAATCAACCGGTGCCACTGTTTGAAATTTATCCCTATAGTTTTTTCTTATAGTCAAATCGTGCTACCGTTTGAAAAAAATTCAGGGTTCGTCCCTATATGGATGTATGGCGAGTTCCATGTACGTACATGTGTAGTTGCCAAGTAGTCGCAGAAAAGAAAGAAGCAAACAATATGTTATGCGGTTTCCATGCGGGTCTGTCTACATGGGAGCCGCAGAAAGAAACCCGGACCCAGTAGTGGATCCAGAAACTTTTATTATTGGGGGCACCTTTTAAGGATGTCAAAAAAATCTGAAACCGAATAACTCTTTCGAACCAATACGATTTTGGTTATTCGGTTTTCGGCTTTGAGGTACACTTTAATTGAATAAAAATAACTTACTCATTAGTATTATAGCAAACAAAACAAGAGAAATAAAATGAATTTTAACGGGTTGACACTTTAGAAGTTAGAGGAATTAGAGTTTAATTGATCAAGTAATGACTCCTTCAAGTAAGTGTTCTAAAATGAGATGACAAGAATTAGAATTGGATATAACTTTTATTTGTTCTAGGCCTACTAATAATTTTAAGTTAACAAAAATATAAATAAACTACTCTTTGGGGTTTGTTGGGGGCCTGTGCCCCCTACCCCTTTGTTGTGGATCCGCCAGTGCCCGGACCCTCATGCGGATATGGCCGCATGCTACCTATCGAACGAAAAGTTAGGCGGTTTCGATGCGAGTTGAGCTGCTTGGCACCCGCGTTCGCTTCTGCTTCCTTAGGGGGTGTTTGGGATTGCTTATAAAACAACTTATTGACTTGTTCCGGTGTGGCACCGATAATAAGCACTTTTTAGTGTTTGGATGAATAACTTATATCGATGTCAAACCAGTAATAAGGAGTTTTTGAAAAAGTTAAACTCATCTGACTTATAATAAGTTGATAAAGTGTTTTTGTAGAAAAGTATAAGTTGTTTCAAATAAGCAATCCCAAACACTCTCCTAACTAAACAAAAAGTTCTCCCAGCATAAAACGTGTCCAAGGCTTATGACAAAAAAACATCTTTTGTCCTGCACTTAGATAATAAGGGTTTTCTTTGAATAAAGCGTGTCGACACCTTATTACATACATCTTCTGCCCAACACACTTAAAGGTTTTGATTTGGTTACAGATGTTGTATTTGTTTTGGTTACAACTACCTTTGGGTTTTGGTTTGGTTACATATCTCGACCTCGATTCTTATCTTGTTTTTCTTTTTGCTTTGGTTACAAATCTTGTGTCTTGGTTTTGGTTACAGAGAATTGGGGTTGTATCTGTTAACTTTGATCAACAAATGTTGTTTAATGTAAACCAAAGGGTAAAATAATCATTTCTATTATCTAGAGATCTCCACCCTTAAATCAATCATAAGTGAATGTCAACATTAATGAGGTGCACCAGATCAATTCTCTTCTAAAACATAATTCATGGGTGGGCATGAGATTAAAAGTGATCAAAAGTTCAGATCTATTCTTACGTTTCTCACTATGACTTCCCTTCTCACACGATTCTTTGTCTATATATAGGGATGAGTTATATGGAGAACCCTATAAAAAGAAAGAACCGAAGAACCCATCGAAACTGTTAGATTGAGATCATCCAACATATATGATTAATAAGGTGGTTATAACCACTTTTTTAAAAATATATTCCCCAATTTTTTTAAACAAAAATTAGAACGAAACATACTACACCAAATAAATGATCACTTTATCATCTTTAATCTAACATCTATTTTGATATATTTTTCCATCGTTTTTTATGATTCTCTGGTTCTTTTTTTTTTTAAGTTCTCCCTTGATTTTTACCCCCGATATATACATATATATAGGGGCTAAATCTTTTGTTAACCAATTTATTAGTGTTAGTTATGTGAACCGATCTTGACCATTAATATTTAAATTTTATCGATTAAAATGATTGATGACATTTTTGTAATAAGTATAAACATGGTATGTATTAACACACATGAACACAAGTGAACAGGAGCATTTTTGTAAGATTTATTATCGGTTACATTTTTTAATTATTCCATGTTTGTAGCCATTGTCATCAGGAGGCAATAGAATACACATGAATACAAGTGAATTAAAGAAAAATTGAAAGAGTCAAGATTTTTTTGTAATTAATTACAAAACAATTAATTTCTGATTGGAGTAACAGAGTTTATGAATATGAAAAGAAACAGAAAACTTTGCATAATCTTGAAATCTTTTCCGACATTGATATCAGAATGTATGCATTTAAATGTTGACGAACATTGTACAACATGGTTCATAAGTGAACAATGTTTAAATTTATATAATATTTTGTAGGTAACTCTTATGAACATTGGTGTTTGTATTGTGTAAAGTTTGGTATTGTATTATGTGACCAGCGGTTCATTTTCCAACATTGTCCAACATCCGTGTGTTCAGCAAGTTCACTTATGAACATTGATCAATCAATTCATAGTCAACCCCTCATATGTGTCCATCGTGTTGTTTGCGTATGAACAAAATGGAATTATTCATTCATATGTGCATCGTATGTTCAACAAAGGTTCATTCATGTGTGCATTCATGTGATGGTCCTGAAAACCAACCCAAATTCTTAATTTGGTCATGTGGATGTTCATCTATCCAAATGATGATAATGGCTACAATCATGGAATAATTAGGAAATGTAAGAGACAATTAATAATATGCATTAAAAAAAGACCAAATAGAGAATTGCATTCTTATCCTCACTAAATACCAACACCATGTCAACCAAAAGTTTATCTTGTTTTTGATTGATGAACTATGGTTTGTAAAGTTAACATCAATGAATTGGTTAACAAAAAATCATCCCTCTGTATATGTTTATATATATATATATATATATAGGGGAGCGATCAAATGAAAACCACTTTATTTGTAAAAACCGTAAAAACTCCATTCCATCAATCATAATTTTTCATTTTGTTCATTTTTTTGTAATTATGAGAGGTTGATTAATCATTTTTATTGTGAAGGATGTTAATCATGGATATTATCATCTTCATTATTTTAATTTTAGAGAAATACATGAAACAGTTTCATTAAAATTTCATTAAGTAGTATATAAAACAATTT